ATCAATTTAAGCTGTCTGGCACAATGATGCTTTATTATCTGCATCACAGGTACTATTTTAATGGGTAGATATTTTTCCCTCTCAAGTGACAGTAAAATATATGATTTGAGCAGAACCAGTGTGATAGCTTCCCTGAACACCAGCTTGGACAAGGAGGAAGAGCCAGCTTAGGGGATGTTGGAAGGGGATGTGGAGGAGTTGTAGAGAGGTTGTAGAGGGCTCTGAGCCAGGAGCAGAGGCCAGGCACAATGGAGAGGTTGCAGGAGGAGTGGCTGGATGAACAGTCAGCTGAACAAGGAAAAGGAGAGGCGCAGCTGCAGCTGGAGCACTCAGAGGCGTGTGTGTGTAGAAGAAGGTGTGCAGCTGCAGCTGGCCAGCAGAGGAGAAATTCCCTCCTCTACCTGATCTGTGAAAGCGCAGCACTGAGAAGAGGCAGGCACAATGGAAGTCAACAAGGCTACTCATAAGGCGGCAGCCTCACTTCTCCTGATGAGCTGTACCAACCAGAGGCTATTTAGCCCAGCACGTGGAATAAAGCGAAGCTGAGAACGCTCTGCTTCTTGCCATGCATTTGTTCAGCCGTTGTGATTCTTTTTGTGGATTTAAACTTTGACTATGCTGCTGGATTTGGACTCTGCTTCTTGGACTTCGGACTTTGCTTCTGGAAACTTGGACTCGGATTTTGGCTTTGGTGAACTGTGCTCGACTGTGGACTTGTTTTGACTTTGAACTTGGTGGGGGGGACTTTATGAGCTTGTTTTGTGTTCCCTCATTGGGTTTGTGCTGGTTCCTGTGTGGGGTGAATCCTTGGAAAAACTATTTGGAGCTGACAAAGTCTCAATAAAAGCTTCGCCCCTTGAGGCGTGTGCGTGTGTGAGCAAGACAGGAAAAACAGACAATGTATTAATATGATAAAATATAGCGTTATCCTACTATGAAAATGGCTATAGCATTATATGCTGATAGACTAATCAATGTTTGTCTGTAAACAGTCTGTTAAGAGCCTGCAATGATTGAGAAACACATAAATCAAGAACATATAACAAATAGACTTAAGCTCAGTAACATATAGAACATAATCTCTTGCTAATACAAAAGTAGAACTTCAGCTGCATCTAAAAAGCTAGCTGCAGTTGTTAAGTTGGTATCACGGTTGTAAAATAAATTTGACTTCTCCATTGACTTTGTTTGTCAGAAGGTTGCAGAACATGATCACATGACTCTGGGACACTGCAACCGTCATAAATATGAGTCAGTTGCCAAGCATCTAAATTTTGATCATGTGACCATGGGGACGCTGTAAAGGTGAAAAATGGTCATAAGTCATTTTTTTTCAGTGCTATTGTAACTTCAAACAGTCACTAAGCAAATGGTTGTAAGCTGAGGACTACCTGTTCACCAAACTGAATGCTCTTCATATTCCTATTTTCAGTTTTTATATATTATTTAGTACAGAACATAGTTTTTCTTTCACTCTCAAATGTTGGGTGGTGTCAAGCTGAAAGAAGGAAGCATAAAAGAAAATAGAAAACAGCTGATCAAAGATATCACATATCACACAAGGCAGTCCTTGGTATATTATCTTTCTTTCTATGTAGCTTTCTGTTTCTTAGATTATTTTGCACTGAAAACTCCCTGTCCGTTCCCACACTGGAGATATGGAATTGATTCAGGATGTCAGTTTAAATATCTGGACAGTCAAACCGTGAACTAGTCAGTGCAACAGCTGAACAAATTACATTTTCACTCTATCAACAACAGGACATGGGGATTTTATTAGGAAGACTTAAAAGACACAACTGAATCAAAAAGATAGCTGCAGAACTAACCTAACTCGGATTTCACAGGATGTCGGCACCAATCTGGAGCCCTTTCATTCCTGACTATTACTGTTAGTCTTGGCAGATGACAACATCTCTTAGCAGGAGAGGGTGCAGCTTTGTGTTTTCAGTTCCTTAACTGCCAGAGAATTGCTGACAAAAGCGGCCCTTTTAACAGGATCCATGCATTCCCAGACCAGCACTTCAATGAACATCATTTGCTCATTTTTAATGCCGAACATGAAGATATTTAATGTTTATATTTAAGCAAATTTTTAACAAGAATCTCATTTCTCTAAACTTAACCAAAATTGCCATTACCGTTGTCTGTATCTTGTTTTGCGACCTTCTAAACCAGTAAGGAAGCAAGGTGTGAAGGGAAGGAAGTAAAATAGAGCACGGTATAAAAGGGGTAAAACTGTATTTAAAGGAGTGAACCATGCAGTGGAATAGAAGTGGAGCATGGTATAGGTTCTAGAAAATGGCTTCATTTGTTTTTACATTTATTGTATTATTTCACTTTCTTAGAAGCAGAATCTTTTGAAGAACTGTACTTTTTTAGAAGCTTGCTTACTGGTCAACTCTAAATCCCCATGACCATTAAAGCAGCCACTTCTGAATATTCTGTTGATTAGCCCCAAGAGACATCTCATTTTAACACAGGCATCTAGTTAGCAACAATTGATTTTGTTTTTCCTTTCACGATCAACTATGTTGGAAATCCAAGGTTTCTCATGCTGTTCTACAGCAGAGAGAAGAACAACTAGAGAAACTAAAAAAAGCCATCTGGCTAATTTGCAGACCACATACGTTATCAATTCAAACCTGCTTGGGAAAATGTGCTAGCCCAGCACCAAGATCTTTGCTTTTTAAATCTCAGAGCAAACCATAGTGATGAATGGGCCAGTATGAGAAATTGGCACTAAAGGACAACCTGTTCCCGAAGATCAAATAAATCCTGAAGTTTATTTACTTACTTGTATTTATTTATTTGTATGCCACCTGTTC